ATGAACGATACAACTCTTTAAGGATCGACACATACTTCTCAGGTATCGATGGAACTTGTGTGTATCAAACCGGACGAGAATAAAATTGCCCACCACCAAGGTTGATTAGTGGCAGAAGTGTTTGAACCTTGGATTTATACCAGTGAGAGCGCATTAAGCGCCTTGACTGTAAATAAGCTTTGTGAGGTATTTTTTTGCTGCGTTGAATACTGGGCTCAGATGTCTATGACTAAAAGGTATAACTCAATCTGAAACTGAACTAATCAAGACCATAGACAGCGTTTGTTGCCTGTGAACAATCGATTGAGCTAAACCAAAGAGAATAATCTTAATTAAATAATCCCTTCGCTGAAGCTATTGACCGTTAACCACGTTACCCGCTGTTAGAGATTTCTATTCCCTACCCGAAATTTCGCGGTTCCATTCTTGGTAGGGACAACAAGAACGCAGCTGATGAGTTCCCTCCCCCCTCAAAAATAAACAACTTTTAGGTGCTTTTGTTTCCGGGTATTTGAGACCTTAGTGTTAAGTGAATTTCCGATTGAAGAGGGTGATTTTTCTAGTGTTGCAGTCACGCACTGTATCTCACTGGTTCACACTCTGCTCACCGCACTCCGTGATACACGCATAAATGAATGATTTTGTGCGAATGGCTCTCACTTACATGAAGGCGCGTGGCAGTGGTTTCGTGGTAGTTGGTTGAAGTTTCTTAAACCGGGCTTCTGGGAAGAGATTTGTCGAAGTACACTCGAGTTGTCTGTTATCTGTTTGTTCCACATAGTCAACCGTATATGGGCAAATGTGTTCGTGACCTCGGATGAGAGATTGTATTGTATCACCTAGCTACGAGCATCTAATTGACAGTCGCTGGCCATTCATAAGCTTTTATTTCTAAAAGGTTGAAACGTTATATGAATAATATAGTTACTTGCATCTGTTCCCTCTTGCAATTCGGTTTGTCTCCAGGAATCCAGCTGCTAGCCGTTCAATCCATCACCCTTATTTTGTTTTGAGTCTTTTCGGACATGATATGTTTGCGCTCCTATTCATTTTACGTTTTAATTATGCTAGAATCTATACTTAGAACATAGATTCGTCGGTTTCATCATTGTCACAATGCATCGTAAATTTATGTTATTCCACAATATCCTGTCCAATTATAATTGTTTTCGCCTCATGAAACGTGTTTTCTTCTCTATGTAGTTCAATTTAAACCACTAGAAATCAGTCCGGTGTTTTATTTGATACGGAATTCGGTCATCATTGGTTCGTTTTTTATGTTTCAAATCATTTCTTTACTCATCCCTTCCAGTTTCTACCCGGATAGAGAAATCGGCCGATTGTCGCGACTTTTCCGTATTGCAAAATTTCGATCCGTGAGTGATTCCGCGCTCTATTTTGCCTGATTATCCCCTATTCTAGACCGCGAGAGAATCTGTTAACCAAGGAGGATTCGTTTTCACACACGGTATGTACCTCCGATCGTGTATTCTCGGTGGGGGATTAAAATTGTTCCTTTACTAGTGACACGTATTGATTTTTAAAGCGCTCATTTCATTTCCCACTCCAAGCACACCTGCCAATGAGTAAAGAAAGCACCTAAAACCAGAACGATTGAACCAGACCACTGCCCGGACATTTGGGCGCTGGTGTTAATCTCTCCCTGTGTATGTATGCATGAATCAATAAACTCTCATGGCATCACTGATAAATGTTTCAATTGGGGAACTGTAGTTTTGGATCCTGAAAAATTTTCAGCGATACACATATGTGGCTCCGGACCTCACTTTCACCTTCTCGACTTCCTCACCACA